ATGTTTGCATTTCCATGAATCTCTTCCTCTCTACATGCAAACAATGAGCTCAGCACAAGAGAGAGAGATTTGACAGAGAAAAGGGTTCTTCTGAGGAGCTGTGTCACAAAAGAAGGTCAACACTATTTACGGGAATGCTCTGGCCACTTGATGCAGGTGTTCACTCTCCTGCTACTTCCTATACATCTCTGCTGTGAAAATTAAAGCCATTGGTATGCATTTGTTGTTCCCACAATAAAAGAGAAATGTTGAGTATTTCCTAACAATATGGAATAGAAATCCAGAGCCCAACAAAGGCTTTCTGGAGAGAAATGCTATTGTGCACTTTGTTATAGCCCTCATTAGTTCCTGATGTCTCAGTCTAAGGCAACGTTCCTTTCAAAGGAAATCAGGGTTTGAATGTCTCTTGTCAAGAAGACATCACAGTGATGGGGAACATATTTTATTTTATGCAATCTTATTATCTACACTCCGTCAGACTTCTGTGCTTGCCTATTTGTGTGTAGGTCCAGTTGAGGTTAACTTCTGTTAAATATAAAGTAAGAGGATGTCATGTCAGACATAAAATGTAAGGATTCAATACTGTGGAATTCACATGTTCACATTTGTAATACATTCCTCGGTGGAGTCTCGAGCAGCAGTTCATTCAAATCCATAATGACCAAAATCATTATTATGACACATGTCTTTGCCTCACGGTGAATACTATAAATTAATTAAAATACCATGATGAGTGTAACCTTAAAATAGTGGAAACTACACTACCTTCAATGAAAATGTACATGTGAAATTGAAAATAAATATATTAGGAAACACAATATTCACAGTCTTGATGTTGTGGTGGTGACCATTTGTCAAACTGCAAGAATAACACTTCCATGATTCAACATTTTACGCAGTACATGTTAGTATACTGTTACTCTATATATGCACTGTGGTTTATTATCACAAATACATTGGCTTTAGAGTACTGTGTTCTTGTAAAGAGAATGGCATAGGATTTAATCTCAGGTGAGGGGATATTGCTTTGGGACCCCTGTGACCTATAATACATTATGCCCCCAAAACAAGTTCAGCAGTGAGAACAGCACACAAAATGCCAAATGTCAAAACAAATGAACCTATACATTTCACTGTTGACCTTTCTCATCTGATCTTTAAGTCTTCATAACAAATAAACAATCATATTATTCATTCAAGCCCTCTGAAATCACTGCTGACAGGTGAGTATTCCACAAACCAGAGTAGCAGTGAGAGATAAATACTTATGGTTTAAGACCCTTTTCATTTGATTACTACATGAAAACTGTTCATAATGCCCAACATTAAAAGCAAAGACCTGTAGGAAGTTACAAAAAAAACACAATAGAGGGAGGAATTTGAATTCCAACACCTATGATCCACAAACACTTGGATGTTTCATTAACGTTGCATGCTAATTACCAGTTGGCAGCACAGCAAGAAATTCAAAAGCATACTGTTCACAACCAGAAATATGGCACCACGTCAACTAGAGGACACAATCACACTCAGCAAGCCCTCGGCCCAGAAGGATATTTACACTGGCAGCACTCCGGCCTTGGAAGAGTTTCTGCTCTGCTAGGCGACGGCTTCTTCACGTGGCAGGTTGAGCCTCACCTCCCCTCCTCCTGCTGTGGAGGCCGAGTACACTGCGGTGCCAAACGCAGAAGAAGAGCCGTTGGTCTCCATGGTGAAGAGCGTGCATGGACTTGGTAGGGCCGCGTCAGGAGCTACCTTTTCTGGGCTGGACACCTGTGATGATCCACGGGAGGATGTGGGGCTGAGCTGCACAGCTGTGGTGTCCTGCAGAGTGTGCTCACTGGTCTCTATTTCAAACGCTGCACCACCAGCCAACCCTCCATGTCCCATCAGCCCTCCACCCCTGCCGCCCACCTTAGACCTCCGTGAGCTGTTTGGAGGGGGGAGGCGGCTGCACACGCAACAGGCCCCGAAAAAGGAGAAGGCCACCAGCAGTAGGATAGGTCCGATGATGATTGGGGGATTGGCAGAAGGCACCAGGGTGCTGAAAGCGAACGCTCCCACCAGGGTGATGTTGAGTCCAGCCAGCATGATGCACAGTCCGCAGGCGCAGCAGAGGGCCGGGGAGGGCAGGCCATGAGGGCGAGACTTCCTCCTCGTCTTCTTCTGCGGCTCTTTTTTAGGGACAGGGGTACCAGTGTTTCTGTCAGTGATGACCATGTCTTCACCTCTGTCTCTTCCACTGTGGTGTCAAATCTCAGTCCAGTGTCTTCCCCATGGCAAAGTTTAAATCAATTCACAGCCAGGACAACATCTTTGTCTGTAAATAACAAGAAATGGCAGCTGTTAGGCTTTTTTAGGTACTTCCTTTGAAAGTAAATAAGCTCTGTGGTGACACACATATTTGACTACTCTTGTTCTGTGCACAAGTTGTACTGGACACACAAGCATCACTCTGGTATTCAATTACACATGTCATGATATATATCTGTAAAACAATGAGCATTATTTGATACAGTTAAAGTTGGCTCTTATAGTAAAACTATAATCTCTTACAGCTGAAGCCTGTTGAACTGTACATTGAATTAAGACTATGCTTTTTGGCTCAAATTCTATGTTAAACAATAGATAAGAAAAGTACATTGAATTAAACAATGAAATAAAAGAGGTAATGATGGGTTTTTCAATGGAGAATTTCACTATATTGATACTTAATCATCACATAGTGTAAATTAGATGCACCCTGACTTTTCATCCTTTATAAAAAAGTCACAAGTGTTGCTTAATAAAATATCATGCCTGATGAGAATTGCTATTTATCTTATCTTGTTTCGGGAGTGAAATGTGTGTAATGGCACTGCAGCTGCATCATTCCTGCCAGCTAGGCCACTATGTGAATGGCATTTCAGTATTTAGTTGCAATCAAATCAGCCCTTTCATTCCAGCATGCATCCATTCAAGAGCATTCACTGCACATGAGGAGAGGGGATGTGGGGAAAGGAAATCATTTAAGCCATACGTTTAATAAGAAACTATGATTTGCAAAGAAAACGTGTAAACGCTTAGCCTACTGAACTGATGTGATGCATTCCTGTACAAATTAACCCATGAAAAATCAACATACCCTTTATGTCGATATACTGAAGGTCTTCCCATTGTTTGATCAGTAGATTGCCACGGAGATCCCAGGTCTAATTACCAGGTGAAAATACAGAGAGGTTGAAAGGACGCATAAAAACCAAACGAGGGGTTTTCTTCCTGATTTCGTAGCGTCACAGTCCTGAGGGCACAAGTCATGACAGCCATTCAATCACAAGAGCGAAGCGATCCGAGCTGATGTGGAATATAAAATCCAAGCAGAGGAGAGGAAAGATCAATTATGTGAGATGGCATTTCTTCTGACTGAGACACACAGGCGCAACACGGTGCGCTGCCCCCGGTGTGCACCGAGACGCACGTAGCATCTGACAGGTCACCCCGCAACGGAAATGGAGGGAAACCGCTAAAATATGCGAGGCATCTCTCCGGTAGCCGGGGTTGAGTCGTCATATTTCATTTTTACATATATGTGATGAACTGCCGCGCAGAGCATCTTCTCTCCTCCATGGACCTCTGGATGCGACTCCCAGACTCCTCCTTAACCATCCATCCTGTCCAACCCCTGTGTGTGTGTGTGTGTGTGTGTGTGTGTGTGTGTGTGTGTGTGTGTGTGTGTGTGTGTGTGCGAGCGCGCGCGTGCGTGCGTGTGTGATGAAGGCTGTTGCATTTTGCCTGTATCTCACGAGCTCACCTTTATTTACTTGTTGCTGATTTCTCAAGGAACACACAATGTGAAAGTATGTCATTACTAAATAAATAAGCCAACACAAGTGTGCAGTGTTAAATGATTGTAAGTCATTCGTAAATGGTCACTCATTTGCATCCTAACCTTTGAAATTCCATTAAGTCTAGTGTATTGCGGTGCATTGTGCAATAGACGTGCTTAAGTCACTGATACTCACGGTAGAAAATACTCGAATACATGTTAAAGTCATTTGAGTATTTTCTATTAAAACAAACTCATAATGTTAATCATTATTCAATAACCTGCTGATACTGTTCTATAATTATTTTCTGATAGATTATTTGATTTGTAAACATAGCGAAACATGCTATCTTAAGTACCAAGAGCCCAAAGTGATATATTAACAGTTCAAACCTAAAAAACTATAACAAATAAATTCAAATATTAAATGACAAAGCAGCAAAACTTTGAGCTGGAATCATGAAAAATATATTGTGCAAAAAATCCTAGTTTGTAAAGCAACTACACCTTTCAAATCATTGAACTGAAGATAAAGCTACAATACTTCCCACTGACATTTAGTGGAGAGTAGAAAGTGCAAAGTAGATGTATCACAAGTAAAGTACTAAAATATATGTATAGCTTCCACCACTGTGTGGCTAGATTTGTGTGAATTGACCCTTTAAATGGTTCCAAGTCTGATTTCAATGCGAGAAAAATGGGAAAGGCTGGTTTCCATTTTCGTTCTGAAGTTTTAATTTCCCAATTATAAGTTGAGTTTTAATTGTCAATCACAATCATTAGCAATTAAATGTTTGTTATACGTCGCTCCATTGCTAATCCTCACACAGTGTGATTTGAGGCCTGACAATCAAACTGCTGGTTGTCATCAAGGCACTGCAGACTCCTCGGCTGCTGTTGCCGATATTGTTCAGCCTCACAGCACGCCACAGTTTTTGTCAGAGCGCAGCGTTCTTCCCCACGCCACTTGCAATGCAGCAGCCATTCTGCCTCTGCTGTCCTGAATATCAATGTATTATGTTTCACTGCGGGGGTGCAGCTCACTGTGTAGTTGTTGTGTCTACCTGTACACATGTATTCCAATTTGCTTTATGTTTGTACTGTATGTGGCCTGTAACAAATAAAGGCAGGGGAATTGAGCTGATTTTGATTGTCACATAACGACTATAATCATAATTGATGGATATTGAGAACATTGTGAGATGATGATATGAGCTGCAAGCAATTCAAATTACTGGGTGTATTTGCTTCACTCATTGGAAGGAAGTTCTGAAATAGTTTTTCAAGCAAAAACAATATAATCTTGGGAGGGGTTTATTAGGCCATAAAAACAATCTCGACAAGCGAGCAGGTTCAGGAGATAAGAGGTCTACAAGAGATCATCTTCTTTTAAAGAAACCTAAGAAAGAAGGTTTAGCAAGGTTGTGCATATGTTGACGTCATGGCAGGTCTTGATCTCCAGTAGGCTGCTTAAGTTTCCGTCTAGATAAGATGTCTGGCAGGTCTGAAGTCCTGAAACACACCAGAGCATTTGCTTCAATTACGGTCATCCCCTGAATCAGCTACACAAATACTAATAATACAAATAAAACTACTCTTAAATTAACTGTACTGCATAATGAGTGTATTGATATGTGCACAATGTATTAAAATGAACGTCAGTGATTGGCTTAAATCACATTTTTTCCAAGTATTGCTCAGTAAGCATGATATTTTATTTAAACAACATTAGAATTGGGAGGGATGAAACCCCTCTTTAATGGTCACACATGCAGAGCACACAGCACACACAGTGAAATTTGGCCTCTGCATTTAACCCATCCTAATACCAGGAGTCTAGTACTAGGAGCAGTGGGCAGCTATTATACAGCGCCCGGGGAATTCAGTTCTTTCAGTCTATCATTCATAATTTTCCAAACAAGGTATGTCTTCTTTGGATCATACCTGAATATGATGCTACCAGTAAGATAACTATCATTGGCATTGCAATAAAGGTGGCCCTAGTTAACCAAAATTATACAATATGCTAAATTTGAACATCCCCTTATCTCCTCTAAACAGTCTTTAAGGCAACATAAAAGTGCATGTCTTATGTAAGAGTTTGTGATGGCTTTTTTTCAAACATTTTGCTATAAAATACCTAACTGAAGCACATACACAATTATAGAGATGACATATAGTTCATCATGAAGCATGACCTAATTAACACCATGTGCTTTTTATTAAGTAATTAATCTGTTAGTTTCAGGACCTCATGACCTTTTATTTTCAAATGAACTGCTTTGTAGTTGTGTGACCCAATAAACCAGTGAAGTAGCAGAATACAAGCATGTTTGTCCAAAATGTTGTCAACTTGACCCTATTAGACATGTGTATGAAAGGATCATGATTTGAGTGTGAATTCTTATGGCTAATAATGTATTTGTAGGGTTCATACTGATCTTCACTTTGACCACCATATTTGAAGACATGTAAAAAAATAAATAAGGTGCTCCTGAGATACTCAGGGATTTTTTAATTACAAGTTTTCTTGAAATACAGAAATGAGGCATTGTCTCATAAAATATTTGCTAATTAGCATCTGCATTTGTATTTGAAAATGAATCTACACAAAGAGATATTATGTTGGACTCTTACCCTTCATCTGGGTTGGCCTCAGCCATCGGTCCGCCCTCCACAAAGGTTCCCATTCGACTCTTGGAGCGCTCCAGGTTGAGTTGACTCTGAGTCCCTGCCGAGAACAAAGGAGAGCAGATCAACACGCCGCTAAATTCAGAATCATATTTCCGGTTTCACCAGGCTGTATCAATATCTACACGACTTCACCACTTAATATAATGAATGTTTTTTAATTGAACTTGTATGCAGAAAAACATTGGGAGAAACCAGTAGTAATATATTTTTGATGAACTGACATTCATATGAACATGTTCAACAGGTGTTACTTTAATGCAATTCCCTTAGCAAAAGGGCTATTTTCTATCACATATTTCCTTCCATCTAGGCCAAGCAAAAGCGGTTATGAAAGAAGAAAACATGCTTGATTTTTTACTTTAACAGCCCCCAGAGAGATGACTGATGCTTTGCAGCAGACACAACACCTCTCACTGGTGTTAACTCTCCAGTGAGCGGACAGGTGTCGGATTTGCTATCAACGAATAACGACCATGAACTAAATGGCTCACTATGATGACGTAAACAATTAATAGGCAAATTCTCTATCCTTCTGTTGAAACACTAAGGAAAGAAAACCATGAAGGCTCACTCACTTTCTCTTCTTATTGTCTCTACAAGTTGATCAGGAGCGACATTAGCAGTGGGGTGCACTCTGAAGTTTCCTGTGAAGTCAAGACATATTCAGGGACAAAATAACGTTTTACTTTAAATACTGATCAAAGAATATACATATTGAGGGTTCAAACAATGAATACAAATATTTAACAACTTACCAAAGGATGGAAGAATATTGTTGATGTTCAGCCAGGCTTTAATGAAGGGGTAGATTGCTATGAGCAGGCCTGGAAAGCAGTTAGCATAAAACTAATATAGTGTCCTTATCACTATTGGTTTAAGAAGTAGGAACGATAGTAGTAGTGTGAATATAATCTTTCGTTTTTCTTTGACCTGAATTTGCACTGTAGTGGCCTGAAACTAACTAGGAGTGTAGAATACATTTTGTGTACTGTGCTCATAAGAGAAATCTCATTATAGAAGAGATTTCTACCAATCATTCTGCTAATTGCATTTGCACAATGGCCATATATTGCATGTGAGCCACACCAAAAGATAGACACACTCCCATGCTCATTTAAATCACGACCGACAATAAGACGATGATGAAACAGCCTTCAGATTATTTTATACCAGATACAGTGTGTGATGTTTTTTGATGTTACACTCAAAGTATAAATTGATGTCTGAACCACAGGGCTTGTGTGCCTCTCTGTGGCACTGTGCTCCAATTCCACACAGTTATTGATTTCCCTTATAAGCACAAGAGCTGACATTAAACACTGGCAGGTCCTGAGGGTGGCTGTGATGCATGCATGTGCTTAAAATGTCATGAAACTGCAGAAGGAGAGAAAAAAATCTGCCAAGAACACTCTGTTCATACTCATTAGTCAGCCTATGTGTCGGAGGAGGCATCAAGGCACATAAGCCCCAAAACACATCATTAGATGCTACTTAGCTGCACGAGAGCTGCCATAGTGAATGCCTCGGTCAAGCTGCTGTCTACAGTTTTGATTTGCCAATTCTTTGTGCACGAGTAACACAAATTAATTATTGAGAGCTGATCAAATCATCAGCGAGAACACGTTTACCATTAACAATGCATGCTAATGTTGTCGTCCTCGGATCAAAAGCCCTGGCCTTTGCTTCTTTCTCTTTCTCACTTCTCCATCTTGGCAGTGAAACTCCTCAGGCTGTCAGTCGCTTCCAGTTACACTGTTGTATCAAGTGATCACATGGTGTGTTTTTCAAGGATGGTGAAGGAAAAATGTCACAGGCCACATGCTCTCACTTTAATTTGGGATTTTAAAAAAAAAGTATTCATTCCTCATTTTACATGTTGGATATTAACTGTCCACCTAAAAAAATTAAATTCATGTTTTACTGCCTCATTATTTGGATTCTCCCACATTCCACTGCTGTGTACTATATGTAAAAAGAATAATGATCATTCCATATTATATTTATCTTCTTATGACCTAATTAAAACACAACATCTAAAACAGTAGCTAACTGGTATTTCCTTTTTACACAACTTGAATATTTTTTGGTACTTTATTTATAAAGAAATGCAAGTAGTGTAGGTTCTCCTTTATTAGGACTACAACTACATTTTTATTATCGATTAACCTGCTGTATATTTGTATTGATTTATCTATAACATTTGCATCGACTGATTGATTCGTCTAATTAGTGTTGAAGCTTTGTCCTACTCCTACCTGGTATAGTAACTTGATGTTAGGGCTCAGTTATCACATTTTGGGCAAAATGATATACAAAAAAAGTTGTTTTAACTTGACTAATTTGAAAGAGGTAACGCAGCATAAAATGTCCTGCCAAAAAAACAAAGAAAAAGTCATCCAACATTTTTCTATAGCGGTGTCAAAATCCTTTGGAGAAGCCAGTCTTGTAAACATTTGGAAAAGTCATGAAGTATTAAGGTGATCAAAGAACGTATGTTTTAAGTTGTTAACATTAAAAAATCTTCCATCGATATCCTGTGACACTATAGAAATAATCAATGGGTGTTCTGGCTCAAGGCAAAAAGCATGAAGACAAACAATAAGTAACTACTGTAAATAGCTTTTCTAAAACTGGGTCAGTAGTTAGAAAGTTTCACACACACTCACCGAGGCCTCCCGCTCCCAGGAAGATCCCTCCTACAGCATCGGCGTCACATTCCCTAGACACCCCGATGATGATGCAGCCCGACACGATGCCGAGCAGGGACGAGCCCACCCGCAGTCCGTGGTACTCCCCGACGCTGACGGGGTTCATTCGGCAGGCGGAGGCCTCAGGGCCCTCACTGCCACTGGCAACTTCGCTATCATCTGTGGAAACCTCTCCTCTTCCTCACTTTCACTCTCTGACACAGGAACACTTTCTCTGACAGAGCCTCCATCCCTATTCTCCGTGGATCAAGACGTCTCATGCATCTTTAAAGATGGGGCTCTGGTTTCCATTGCCACTGAAAATTAGAAAGCTTGGGTCTCTGACTTTTACATGAAAGCGATACGTGCGATACAAATCTGATCACAGCGCTCTTCCTACCAGCACCGGCATCTAGTATCACTGGATGCCTGGAGAGTAATTTAGGAAATATAAATACACTGAAACAGCTGTGTGGTATTGAGCATGACAGAGCATCCAGGACTTAAGCGTATGACACAGTGGTGTGAGTTCAAGGGCAAAGACACAAACAGAGAAGGGGGGATGGAGGAAAAAGAAAGGGCAACAGTTGGAGAGAGAGAGAGTTAGAGTATGTGCTACTTGTGAGATTTGTCTGCAAACTTGAAGGGAATGTGTAATGAAAGGTTCGGAGAGTCCTCTACGGTGGGGGCCCGAGGCCACGCAGAAAGGCCTGCAGTTGCCATAGGAATAGCATATCCATGGCAACAGAGGGAAAAAGAGGGTAAGCAGGATTAACACCGGTGAATAGGAAAACAAATGAACTAAGTGGGGAGAGAGGAGAAACAGTGACACATTTCCTGTTCAGCAAGTCTACGTCGACTTCTATTATTATCAATCGATGCTGCTGATACGGTGTGTGTGTGTGTGTGTGTGTGTGTGTGTGTGTGTGTGTGTGTGTGTGTGAGAGACAGAGACAGAGAGAGACATAGGCAGGCTGTGTGACCCTCCTAGCGACACACTGTCGAAGGATATATATTTTTTGTATGTCAGAAAAATAAGTAAAGAGGCCAATACCTGTTTTTTTTCCAAGATTAATATTTATTTACATTTGTGAGAGGTAAAAACATCCAGTATTTCAAGACAAAATAGCAAATATGAGATGAGTGACGGAATAATGAAGATATGATTTGTAAAGCCAGTATTGATTTGTATTCTTTTTTTTTTAAGAAGAAGAAGAAGATAAAGTGGTAGTGGTAATGTCCATCAAAAAGTCTTGCAAATGCAAAACCTTAAAGAAGGGAAAAGTTATCCTCGTCGTAAAGCAAATTTGGTCTGGAAGATTCTCTGGGCAACTGAGAATAAATATTTTGCCTTGTACTCACAAGGAATTATTGTGAAGGAAACGCAATAACATTGGCCGGAAATACTTTTAGAGCTTGCTTGCAGGTGCTTAAGTGGCACACCATCTCTAACGTTCACATAATGAACACACTAAATCACTAAAGCTTGAGCTATTAGTGTGGGAGGCTGTGCAGGGCCATTACATGTGAGGCAATAAATGTTAGCAAATGACACAAATGTATCTAATCTCTGAGGTTAATGACACTGTGCCCTGTATAGGGTTACGGGTCTCAGGTTGCCTCTAAAACATATCATTTAGAAATACAAATACAAACAAACTTCTGATAAACAAATTATTAAAATATATAAAAAATTCAACTTACATACATAACATGTCATACGTGTTGAAATTATGAAGAAAACCATTTTTGATTGCTAAATTCTAATTAATCTCTAAAATAACATGTATTTATATTTGAATACAATTTGGCTGTTTTCTTGTGGATAACAAACATATGTAGTTATAAGCTATAAGCACATGTTATGCTTAGCAGCAAAAAAACTAATCAGCAACGGAGAAATGCTGTGAGAGCAGTGACAATAAAATATGCGTTGGCCGGGAATCGAACCCGGGTCAACTGCTTGGAAGGCAGCTATGCTCACCACTATACCACCAACGCTCGATAACACTTTTAGGGAAACGCTGAATTTTTTCCCGTTTGCAGCCGAATTGGTTATTCTATTAAATCTGAGCTGGGTTGCAAAAACGAGAGACGCTTCATGCACACGAATCAGCGAGGTTAGCCAGGCATAGCTATTAAACCACAATCTGCCAGAAATCACAATCCTGTAACCAATCAGGCTTCAGACTGAAGTTAGGACCGCCCACCTCATTAGCAAACAGACACAGAAATAAAATAAGTGAACATAAATGTAAAAATACATTAAATATATAAAATAATGTATGTTCTGTTTTATTCTCAACTTTTATTTATATATCCATTTATTGCCATATTTATTCCTGTATTTTTTTCCACATGTATTTATTTCAACATGTATTTATTATTTTATTCATTTATTTCCGTATTTATTCATACATTTATTTATTTATTTATACTTATGTCATGTTCCTATCTACTTTCTCACATACAATGATGCAAAAGTATAGACTGCAAAATAAAATAATAATTTCTACATAATATAAAAGCAAATCAGGTGTGAACTTTGGTTTAAATAGTGAATTTAAATGATCAATGTAATGTCAAGAAATAGAATAAAGCTAGTTTGCTTCTCAACAAGTGTAATGATCTCCATTTAGTAAAACATATAGGGGGCTTATTACTATTATTATATTACAATACTAAAACATGCGGGGAAAAAACAACTTTGGATTTTTAAATAATGGATGTTTGTTGTTATATACAGCTATAGTTTAGTCCACCAGATGGCGGTGTAGTCTGTGGCAGACAGCTATCTACTGTGAGATTGATAGAAAACATGCAAACACAAAGACATGTAAATATCATAGGTAACTGGAGAATGCAATTCCTGAAGAAATTGCTAGTGGGAATGCTTTATGCTGAAAAGCTGACGCTAAACTGCTATGCTGAAATGTGATGTGTAAGATGAAAGTGAATAATTTAGATTGAAATGATACATGCACACTGGGGGCTTGAATGTGTGATAAGAGAAGAAAATAAAGTAAAAAGGCTTGGAAAAGCAGCAGAATATTTGAACTGCAAACTTGTGAACTAACTTGATGGCGAATGATCTGTCGCCATGCCAACGGCATTTGATGACATCCCATAATACGCTTAGATGCGTTGATTGCTACATTGTTACCAAACCTGTGAAGTGTTGGGCCGTTTGGAGCATTTTTACTGAAGTTATGAGAAAACCGTGTTTCATGGTGAGCATTGTATTGCCACGGCATTTGAAGAAATCTCAAAACTGTCCCGTAGATGTCTTCACGGCTGGACTGTTAGCACACATGTGAAGTTTGAGCACTTTTTGAAAATGTTCATAGGAGTTATAGCGACATCGTCTTTTATGGCGAGGGATATGCATCCCTCGCCATAAAAAAACTTCACATGTGTGTTCCATGGAAACGGCATATGATGACACCCCATAATTGACGTAGAGCTGTTGAGGGCAGGACTGTTAACCATTATCTGAAGTCTGGTGCTCTGAGCATGTCAGTTGGAGTTATGACATCATCGTGTTCCATGACACAGGTGTTTATATTTGAGCTAACGACGTGTCCAGAGATCAAAGGTTTCCATGGTGATGTGCAGTAATCAGTTAGAGGAGAGCATTTTCATTGTTCTGAATGAGAGATAAACCTCTTACATGTGAACGTTTTGTTGAAGGACCGTAACAGATATCGGTGACATTTCAAAGCGTGAAGCGTGTCAAGGAACTTGAGCATCTGAAGTGTACTTTTTGTGTACTTTCGGGTTAATAATGTGGCCTTTTTGGCAGATTAAAAATATGTGAAAAGATGTGGCTGAACTTACAATGGGCTTTAATTACATTACATTGCATTTAGCTGACGCTTTTATCCAAAGCGACTTACAATAAGTACATTCGACCATGATGAAGACATGTTGAAAGTTTTTGTCACTTCATGCCCTCAAGAGGCATTTTGTTTAATTATTTAGCTTAATTATTATTTATCTTTCAAGCTACGAGATGTTTTCCTACGTTTGTCATGAAAAATTATGTCTTAGGAATGTAGGGTTTGGGAATTATGGCAGGTTTAAAAGAAAATATGAAGGCAAAATTAAATCTGTCCTCCACTTTAGCTGTGACATCATGCACTCTAAAATCTGAAGAAGGCCTCTTTACCAAGGTCTGAACAATGTTTAATATCTCTAAAAGGATAGGAATCAGAAAGTTGTTACACGAATAATGTCAGAAAGATGTGTAACATTTTAAAGTTGGAATGAGATTTCTGAGTGAAAGTATGAAGGAGCAGTTAGCAGTTGAAGTTGCATGAAGATTGTTCAAGTCTGAAGAGTTTCTCCATTGACTTCCATGTTAAAAATGTGATGTATTATGGGATGTATCTCTGGAATTATGAAAGTTATGAATGATAAAAGTAATAGCCATCGATTCCCGACCGAGCTGAACGTTTTGATATTTGAACTGAGTTTCTGCGATGTTCAATGTGGAAGGCGAAGTGGCGCAAAATAACCCGGCAGAATAATAAAGAATTTCGTGCGTAGCATAACAGATAGTTGGAATGCTGTGTCAGCATTCCCACTAAAATATATACCTTGATAAAACGAAAATGACTGTGCTGTATGCCTACTCAAGTATGGAGGACGGAAACTGACGTAAGTTTAAATAGATAAATGTAAGTGAACGTATTCGGCTTTATTTTCAACTTGTATTTATCTATACATTAATGTATTAATCTGTCTTCATATATCTACCTATTATTTTATTTATTTCCTATTTATCTTAAAGGTGGGGTAGGTAAGTTTGAGAAACCGGCTCGAGATACACTTTTTGTTATATTCCATGGAATGCTCTTAACATCCCGATAGCAATGAATATCTTTAGTGTTTTGACAAAAAATCCATTAAAAAATGTCATCTGTGGAAGCCGTAGTGCTGTAAAAAGCACGACCAATCATTTTAGCCGGCCCGGCTAAAGTAACTGGATGGCCTACCTGCCTGTCAGCTTTCCATCTGTGGACAAATGTATCTCGTGCCCTCATTGGTCATGTGCGCGTTGTGTGTGTTGGAGGAGGGGCTCTGTAAGGAAGTGGCAGATTTTTTCCGGCTGTGTATTTTCAAATTCTGGCGCACTCGAGCTGGTTTCTACCTACCCCACCTTTAATATATATTATGCATTTGTTTAATTCTTCCTATATTTACTTCCGTGTGTATGCATTTTTTTATGCAAAAATGTGTGGCCAGTACGGGTATCGAACCCGCGACCTTCGCGTTATTAGCACGACGCTCTAACCAACTGAGCTAACCGGCCATACACAATACAAGTACAGTAACCTCTGAATACAACAACAGACAACATATTATGACACCTATGAACGTTTATGTAAAGGGTATGCAGTGGTAACATCTTTGATCGGACCTTGTGGCGCGTCAACATGTTGATTCGACATGAAGCTAG